ACAGGGAAGAGCGAACAGAGGGGCTTATACGTTCGGAATGCTGGGGACGACAGGCGGTCCAAGGACGACACCAAGTACATAGCAGCGCCTACGGCGTCTTGGGGATGCAGACCTAGGATAGAAGGTAAGATACCGTTAATTACCCATGGGTGGTTGCAGAAAGAAGTAAGGGCTTACGCCGAGTCCCAGGACACCGAGCAACGGGATAGGTTTGTAGCAGAAGTATGACACTGACACCCCGGGAATTGCCGAGCATGTCCCAGGGCAGCCGGTGTCATCGAAACAAGTCTTAGTGACACTGAGAACGCAAGCTGACAAAGCCTTGATCTCTGGAGTGACGCAGACCCCCTACGTCCATTTGTTGGTATCAGCCATTCTCCCATTTCGGACAAGGAGACAACACTGACTGGAAGGGTGACGGGAACTGGGAGTCCAAGAACGTCGGGGACCGAGAGGCACGCAGGCTCGTTGGGGCACGCCGGTGGGCAGTCACTGTCCATGCCGCAGACCGCCGTACAGGCTCCTTGGCGAGCCTCAAGGGAGGTTGGGTTAGCGAAGGCCGCTCCGACATGCATGGCCGCAACAGCGAACTTGACGAAGGTGAAGAAGTTCATGTCTAAAAACACGTTGGAAACACCAACGTAGAAGTGGCCTTCAGTATTTTCAAAGCAGTTTTCGCGCATAATATAGATACTGACTGAGCGAGAACGTTGATGCGAGGTGTAGTGAGTGCACACTGAAGACCATGACCCTCGAGCTCACCTGCATTTATACTCCCGGAAACGCAATGTCATGTGATGTGCCTGCTAGCTGCTACCAGGGGTCGAAATGTATCCATCGCCCCAAGACCGTCTTTCATCCGCACTACGAAGAGCTCAGGGCCGCAGAGCATCGCAAGAAAGCCATACGTGACGTACAAGGAATGCGTATCCAAAATATTCAACAAGCTCCATGATAATTCATCTCCAACACACATCCCAGTGGATCCTCCGCACGATACCCATTAGGCTTAGTGGACCGAGGTGGACGACCGCGTGCATCCTTCAGCGTCTTTGTGGAAGGTATACAGTTTCTGGAAAGTGATTTCGGTTTGTGACTTTCGAACTATTTTCCCCAAACCAAGTCCTAGGCTCACTTCTCGGCTTCGAGTTGAGCTTCTGACGGGATAGTATCCTGACTATTCTTTCCGCTCGCTCTTCTCATGCGTGCTAACCCGACTATGCAGGATAATCAATACGTTATGAAACAGCACAATGGTTGTAGATTAATCCCTCGCCAAGTCTGCCTGTACTAGTAGCTTCACATAGGACTTGAATTTCTGAAGATTACTCACTAGCGGCTGGTACTTGTGCACTCGAGCCAGATACCCATTGACGCACTCCGTTTTTACGCGTAACTGGTGTTACCCCTTTTGAGATCGACGGAGCTTTTTTCTCATATGGCTAGCTTTGCCAGGTTACTAGTAAATTTACCACATTTGCCTTGCGCCTGCTCAGAGGTCTTGGACGATGACTTCGCTTCAAGTTCCGAGATACTACGACCATTATGTCTTCAGTGGGGAAGGTCCGCGTCTTTGGGACTAGAATAGAAAAAACGGTCTAGAAAACTAACCGACAGCGCTGCGAGGAGACGAGACCGGACAGAGGTACTTTGGTACCGCCGACGACCGTAACGAACGTGCCTCATGATCAGAGCCACATGTTTCCGGTAGCACGACCCTGAGCTGCGACGCTGTGTTTCGCGCCATGGGAATGCTCTCAATTCTTAGCAAGCTCAATCCCGAGTTCTCGATGTTTGCGGCTATTTCAGCGGGGAGTATCCGAACCTGCTAACTTGAAGAGGCTCGCCACCAAGAGGTGGACTGAGCTTAGTTGGGCTCGCCGGCCCATCTCTGACCCTTCGCAGCATTCAATTAGTTTCCCCACATACGGCACAACCTGAAGGCACACGGCACTTCATGAGAGTTGAAAACATAGGGTTGTTCTGATATCTTCCTGGCGCAGATTCAGGCTCAACAATTGGGCGTGGCGGCGCAATTTACTTACTATTGTGACGGCAGCTGCGCCTGTTTCTGCTTCGGATTGACTTTCGTAGCTTATATGAACGTTAGCTAGCGTCTTTGATCTCCACGATTCATAGCCTAGTCCCACCACAAAATATTTCACTGTACGCCACTCCTTTGCCCCGAACACGACGACGCTCAACGAGTATAAGACCATTGAGCTAGTATTCATAGTCTAAATTGACGCAAGCGTTGAAAACTATTGTTCTACTTACCCTCAGGGTGGAATATCATTATTGCCGCATACCGACGGGCTACACCTCGTTGCTTTGAATGCGGCCCTTAACCTACAACTCGGCGCAAACGTCCGAGACGAACGGCGGATCATACCCGGTTCCCTAACGCAGGCATCTTTAAATGACGTAGGTCCATTGCACAGCCCACATAGATGACTGATGAGCGCCGCCCAGCTAGCAGTGAAATGAATGGGCGTAAACCTTCCCTTCCTGTGGCCGGCGCTACTTGCTATGTAGAGGTACTCTAGAAACCAGCGGGAACCGCTGAGTTATCACGCCGTTCGCGGACTCTTTGGGCCCTTTGATGTGTACCTCAGCTGACGAAGTATACTGAAGACCTGAAGACGCCACATGATGTGCTGTGGGCACGTTTGTTACGTACTGCTGCATCTCGGCCCGTCTGACAAGAGAGTTGAGTGCGTATGCCGGCGACACCATCAGGACGCAGCGTGGATGTGACGGGAGGGTGCACAGGCACCGCGCTAATCTTGGTGGTTTCTGGATATAGCTTGTTTGAAGGGCGTGGAGTAACTACCTCGGCGCGGGTCCGTCTGTCGGGACGAACGTCCAGCTGATGAGCAACAGGCGGTCAACGCATCAACGTTCAACCAGTCACCGCAGCGTGACCACTTACCAAGCTGTAGGGGTCAGAATACGTAGGTCTGCATTGCTTGACCGCGTACGGGCCGCCTGTCGCGCTTTGGAAAGATGGAGAACCAGTCGGGAGGGTATTGGAAGAACCCAGCTCCGCCCAGTTTCCGCGAAATTCCTAGTGCATGGTAGCGGGCTGTGTGAGACTTTCAAATTTCTACTCGGATGCGAACACAACGACCTTCTCGTGTACGGTTGTCCTGTCAAACAATGGTTCAATCAACTCTACGCTACGCCAATCAGATGCACCCGCTTCTACGCCACTTGTATGCGCTACTGACACTCCACTCGGACGTGAGTGGTGGCGCCCCCGAGCCGACTAGCCCGTTCCTTACGGGGAGTGGGTTCCATTCGAGGGCGCCTTCCGAAACCCGGGTCGAGGGCGTTGCATTTCGCCTTGCCTCGAAGGCGAAGACAAGGCCGACGTTGGAAACAATTCGCCCCTCCTGCGCCTCCCTTCGCTTGGGGCCGAACTTACGACCACTGGCGCTGCGGTTAGCGTTTTCCGATGCAACGCACATCGAAAGCTTACTCATGTTGCAGCAATCAGCGGACGAGGACCTGTGGGACAAGCTTGTTGTACTTTCGACACAATGTGAGCACTCATGAATCTTCTCTGACGGTGTGGTAATCACCTGAGTCTTGAACACCTCGTGGAAGACGGGCTTGTCGAATTTACCCTGGACTAGCGGGCGGTGGTCACGCAAGAGAATACCCCCGGCTGGCAGTACTCTGCAATCACTCCCCGTCGGTACAATGTGTGTACCTTCAGCACCGTTTGGCAGGAGCGACCATCACAGTGGACAATATACCACAACTAAATTCCCGGGGAATCTCGAGCTAACGGCGTTGAACCCTTCGACATTCTCGGTTCCGCTACAGATACCCCTGTCAGTCACCATGAGGCCCTCCCCCAGGAGACAAGGAGAGCTCACTACTTCGAGAGAGTTGAAGACACTGTCGACCAAGGAGACATCGGCGGATCTCCGCTTTCCCTCCTCCTTCGCGTCCCACGTTGAACGTGCGATGCCCTTCGATGCCCTTCTCCCCTGGTAGCGGGATGTCGTGAATGAGGAACGGGTCGAGGCATTCCACCCATCGATCAGCAGCCTCACTTCTTCCATTGAGATTACTCCACGGAACGTACCACAGCCGAAACACTTCCGAGAGTAACCGACGGCGGACAGGGTACTCTCGTAACCATGTTTCTTCGAAGCTGCGTTCTACCATGCCGTCAGTACGTTACGCGCACTCCATTTCTTCGGGCACTACGCACTAACGAAGGTTTTCTCCCTGGGTATGCCGCCCTGCCGCACGGTCTCGTCCACCTCCTTCTCGTCACGGTACACCATCGTGCAGTCGATGTGCCTGTAAGCATACCCTCGTGAGCCGTAAAGCGCCTCCGCGCGTGCAGTAGCACCTACCGGTATCCGAGCTGTAAGTTCAGTGCGACAAGGCATGTAGAAGGGCTTGCGTCAATGTTCTTTCATACCCCAAACCCCATCAAAGGGGCATCATCATACTATCGCACAGCGGAGCATTTGGGATTAGCGGGTCATCGACCGCTGGCCTAGCTTCACACAACAGAGAAGAGGCCAGGAGAGGGTAAGAGGACGAGTGCTGGCCATCATCCTCGCCGTATCCTTCAAATGTATTCACTCGGAACTTGTTCAAGGCGATTCCCGGTCGACGCCCAATCCGAGCCGTCGCTTTGTCCTCGTACTATACAACTAGTGGACATTATATTTTTCTTCTATGGGTGAGCTTGAATGTCGATGGAATTGATTCACAACATACCGGAAGCCGTTGGCATGTTACGAAGAGCATCCGATATCGAGGGTCGATACCTAATGGCGGATGTCTGAGTCGTAGCCCGGGGTCCCGGGTCCGTGCCACAGTGAGAGATCGAGCACACGTGCGGGCCTGTAGGAAAAAAACAACAACCTTTCTTGACCTTCATACGGGCCAGCATAACAGCGAGCGAGGATTGTCTCGCCCAGCAGACTGTTGTGCTATTGTCGAGATGAAGGTTGGAAGGAAGAGGAAAAAAACGACACCAGCAGGATTTGAACCTGCGCTCCCAGAGGGAAACAGATAATCGGATTACGTAATTCGAATCTGTCGCCTTAACCACTCGGCCATAGTGTCTTGAACAAGGGGTCATGATACTAAATATCGTGGGTGCACTGGACATTCCGGTCTAAAATGTCTCCAGCGGCAGACTCACACATCAACCTAAAGAGTCGACCTCTACGTCAAAGATTCTCCTTCTCCTATCTCCTTGCTGCCCCTCGATTATTCCTGATAAATCCAGCCGCCGTCTCGAAAAGACTCGTGTTAGATACAAAAGTATTTGTGCTACTCCATACACCCGACCGGCTGCATACAACAGACTCCGGTAAGCCTACGCATACCGCACCGACACAACACTGCTACACCGCTACTATACATCATCACCAATAGTGGGCCTCAAACAGCGCACACTAAGTTCAGAGCGGATGCACAACGTTCGCACCCAACCTCAGGCCTGCACCCCGACCTGAGGCGTCGCCGCAGGGAACGCCTTCAGGTATTCCACGCGGTACGGGTTATTGTCGGTCTCGGGCCCGCGGTAGTGCGCCGTCCACTTCGGTTCGTCCTGGAACACGTAACGTACAATCTCATCAGCACAATTTTTATACGACAACGTACTCGCGAAGACGGACCTTGAAGAGACGAAGCGTCCGCGCACGCTCGCGCTCGTCGAGAGAGAAGCGGTGGTAGATGCCCGCGGGGAGGATGATCATGTCGCCCGCCTCCAAATGGCACCGGATCCAAGAGTCGGTCGGGTGCTCTGCTTGAATGTCAGCGCCCCCGCCAACCTTCCCTGCTGGAACCATGTTGTAGCTACCCACCGCGAACGTCGAAGAACCCGCTGCCCTCGAGGAGATACCGGATCTCCTCGTCCTCATGGATATGCCTGCAAATCACCCCCCAATACTTCAGTACTCATCCCTTACTAATATCCATTCAAGCCCCCCAAAGTGCATCAAGGAGCGAAGGTACCCACTCGTTGAAGAACATCGTCGTCTTCTCCTCGAACGCCTCCCCGAACGACTCCCGGCTCGCGACGACGACGTCGCGCGAGCTGTACCGCCGCTCCTCCGCGATCGCGTCGATCTTGGCTTCCCAGCCGCCCGGGGCGTCCACCGGGATGCGCCAATACAGCACCCCGAGTGCGGCGAGCGTCTCGAGCGCGACGCCCCGCCCCGAGTCGTGCGGGAGGCGCTGGTCCCCTGGGACGTTGTCGAAGTAGTATGCGCGCATCGTCGTCGTCGATGGTGAGAGAAGGTTGGGGGAGGGGCCGCGGGAACGCCGAGGGCGTATATGTACTCCGCGACGGCAGTGGCTGACAGCAGCAGTGTTGCTATTTCGTTCGCGGAACTCTATAGATGATATCACGCAGCTCGGAGCCCCGTTGACATCAGTGCCACGGAGGTCGCGGGCCGAGGGACCGAATGCGCACTTGGAAGTTGGAGTCTTGGAGGCTCTGAGGCTGAACTCGAACACGAACAACGCCCTGTCTGGACGTCTAACTGGCTGCATACTTATGCTGGTATCGTGAAGGCGTGAAACTATTCTAGCTCAATAAATACACTCGGAGAGACGACCACAAAACCAACCCTCCCGCCCCGACAAAATCTACCACGCCCCCGCAGACGTCCTCCCTGGCCCCGCCTCGTACCCATCCGCGTCCGCGTCCCCTTCCCCAGTCGACCGTCCGTCTACGACGGACTCGGACTCGGACTCAGACCCGGACCCGGACTCCGCCGCCCCAGAAACAGGGCGCCCAAGCGACTCCCCGAGCGAGCCCACAATGCGACTCGCGAACACAAGCGTGCTGCGCCCGCCGGCAGACATCGAGGCGGCTTGGGAGTCGTGTGGGTGTGACCGGTTCCGTGCTGCGATCCCCTTGCCGCTGTACTCGCGGAGGTTGAGGATGAAGCGCGAGACGAGGATTGAGGTGAGACTGGCCATGGGTCGGTAGTGTATGGTGGGTGATTATAAGTAAGCGCGCGAGAGGGAGAGGGAGGGGGGAGGGAAATACGAAAACGCGTACACGTCTGCGACGTCGCCCATCACCGAGACTTGCTGGACGAAGGTGATGAGGATGTGGAGCACGTTCAGGAGGAGCATCGTCCTGCACCGCAGCATACGACTACGCGTCAGCGAACACAAGAATGCGTGCGAACCGCTCCGTCGCCCACGCACCCAAAGTATAACGTCCCTATTCAGCCGCGTCACTAGGACTGAGAACACGAGCTCACGGCGGCCCAGCTAGGGAAGGGAAGGGCGCACCATCGCGGAGGAGAAGGTCCAGGAGCGGCGTCCGCACGCCGCTGCCTTCTGCTATCTTCCGTACTCGGTATGTCTTTCGCCACGTTACGGCGAGGACGAGCGCGTCGCCTGCGATGAGCGGGCAGCGCGAGCCGAGGACCACTGTGGTTGTTATGATTTAGGGGCTATTAGCTCTCGGGAGTGGTAGGCGAGAGTCGAACGGGCGGAACGTACGTCTGAGCGCGGGAGGCCGGAAGGTGGGAGGAAGGTCAGTGATGGAGGTTCGGGCGTCGTTAAATCGAGGTAAAGGTATCGCGCAATTGGAACAGAACGTACGCGTAGTGCACCGCGAGCGACACTCCGTTGCTCGCGGAGCATAGGTAGGGCGCGGGCATGTTTACCGGCTTGATGACCGGCGCATCGTACTACGCAATTGTGAGGGGTATGGATGAGTGGGTGATACGGCACTATCGACGTTCACGTAGGAACCGGGGGAAACAACGCAACGCACGATGTTGCTGACGAGCGGCCCGAGCATGAGCACGCACACGACCGACGAGATGCGCCAGTCGCGTCCCGAGGTGGCGTACACGCGGAGAGTTGAGAACGCTGTGTACATAGGCTCGTGTTCATCTACGCACTATGGATGTGAGGCGCACTGATGAGGAGAGGCGCACCATTCCACAAGACGTATGGCAAGATGCTGAGGACGACGTCCATGTAACCCAGAACGGCGCATCTGGCAGCATATCATCAGACGCAGGACGGTCAACGATATAACCGAGTATGACCCGTACGTCTAGAAAAGAGTGATTACGAGGGTGTATACGGCCGAGAGGCTAGCTAAAGACGTACAATGTCGGACAGAGGTACTATAGAGGCCATGGTGATCGCATTCTGGACGACCATGATGTAGCGGTTAAGCACAAAGATGACGCTCGCGCCCGTCAGTTTGCCGCGCCATATGAGGCGGAACTCGTCCTCAAAGGTGATGAGGTATTCGTAGAAGATGAGCGCTGGGAAGAGAGGGGGGGGATCAGAGTGGGGATGGGCCGGGTGCGAGCGGTGGTGCTTACTGGCGAGGACGAAGTTTACGCAGTTCTGTACGAAGCTGAGGTTGGAAGGACCCCTCTAATGTAAGGATGGTAGCCTAGGTCTGATCTTGTGGTAATTTCTTACAAGAATTCGCGAGCTATGAGGGACTGTTCTACACTCTCTGTAGACGCGGAGGGCATTGCGTCTAGGACCTGCAGCTAAAGTCAAGACAACGGTCACCGACCAGAGCACGACCCCAGAGAACCGAGAGATCGCGAGCAATGTACATGGTTGGACACCCTCGAAATAAGTACCCAGGTGGATTTGAGTTGGACACACCGAAGTCCGAGCAAAGAAGTCAGCTGGGGGCATGTGCGCAGAATCGCCGGCCCAGGAATGATAGACCAGTGACTGACTGATCTGCAGCAAAGGGAAGCGGCGAGGTTCGAGGCGTGTTACAAGAGTATCCGCAGTTTCCGGGCGTAGCTACTATGGCAGGTATGAAGTCCAATACCGAGATGGCGGATTATGTTCTCGGAGCTCGGATATGCAACGAGGAGTCGATCGCGAGTGGTGGGCATGACCAAGCCGCCCCGTTTGCAGTTAGATCTCCGTGGTGAGGCACATGAATTTGCTGCGTCTCTCTAGTGCGTCTATACCTCCCAGATATCCTTACGCCAGAAGAGACTCAAGAGCGACATGATGGTGAGGAGGAGAGAGCACGCCGCTTGAGCGCCTATACAGGAGGAGAGCCGGGAGGAATAGGCGCCCCACCGACCGCCAGGACCGCCCTCGCTCTCGCTTCGTGCGCCCAACGCCAGCATCATGTCGGCCACCTCCGTCCTGAACGCGTCTCTCGCCCGCGCACGCCTCCAGCTCCCCTCGTCCGCAGCGTGGTCGCGCCTCTACGCCTCCGCCTCCGCCGGCGGACGACCGCTCATCGGCCGCTACAACCACGTCCCCGTCGAGCTCGCCCGCGTCCAGTCCGGCCGCAACGTCCGCCTTCGCGACTACGAGACGCAAAAGGCCCTCAAGCGCTTCAGCTACGACCTCAAGCTCGTCGACGGCAAGGTCCTCCCCGCGGACGGCCCCAATTTCATAGGTGTGTCTGTCGCTGAGCGGGTACTGGTCTGGAGGGATGACGAGGCTGAGCAAGGCGCGCGCACTGCGCCGTGAAGGTCCGAATGGGTGCTCGCTGAGAGAACCGCTCTCGCCGACTTTCCAGGAGGTCGTGCGCAATTTCCGTGGCACGAATATTCTGGTGTACGTCGTCAAGGAAGGTGCGTCGCGCGTGGCGTCACTGCCCAGACCCGCAATTTTGCACTGACACGTTATATGAAGGCACGCCTCTGCCCGACACGCTGCAGATCCTGCACGAGCACTCGGACCACTACTCTCTGCAGTGCACGAAGCCCATGACGCTCGACGGTACGTCCCTACCGCCCCCTCCGGTCTCAACAAGCCAGTTGAGCGCACCCGTACAGAGCTGAACGCGGAGTGCACAAAGTGGATCAACGAGCACGGCCGCACGCTCGACAAGGAGCAGTTCGACAACGAGTACCCGTTCACGATCTAAGCCCCCGCCCCAGCCGGGCTCCGTCAAAAGGGTTCCCTTCCCCCAAGGGTCCCGCACGACCTCCCGTTGGTCTGGCCGGTCTCTACAGGGAAAACCTTTACCCCTCCTTGAGACCCATCGAAGGCCTGGGAGGTGGATGCGCCGCGTCGGCACATATCTTACAGCATATACATACAGCATAGTTGATATAATGCACACCCAGATCCCAGCCTACCATCCT